TCAACTCTAGGACCCCCCTACTTCAACAAGCTGGCTCCGCCCCTGACCACATGAGTAGATATTGGGAGGAATATATATATTTTTTTAAATCTGACATGACAACACATGGATTCTTTGTGAAGATGTTTGCTGTGGACTCTGTGCCGACAAAAGTCACAAAACTACGACCGCTATAATAAAATAATAGTAATAAAAAACAAAACAAATATTTATGAAATGTGCTGGGTGTAAATCTTACAACCTCTCACGTTAGTGTGAAACCCACAATTTAATTAATTTGTACGTCTCACTAATGTGAGAGGTTGTAAAATTTTATTAAATTGTGGATCCCACACTAATGTGAGAGGTTGTATGATTTACAATCATCTAATGATTGTACAAGTGAAAAAATCCAACATTTATTTGATTACAGATTTTTAAGATCTCAGGAGTAATAGACTACTATGTGGTAAGTTAATTACTACCAAAGATTCCTAAGAAATGACAAAAATTAATAAAAGATTCTGTAGTAATTACTGTGGTTTTTAGGACAACACTAGAATCAAGCCAAAAAAAAAAAAAACTAAAAAGTCTTGAAATACTGTCTTGATATTTTTAGATTCCAAATCCCAGTTGTATTTTTCCAGAAAAAGAAAGAGCTCACCCCTTAGTTTTATTTTTCTTGAAGGTTAAATTCGTGTTCATTTTCAACAAAGATGGTATGCAAAGCTGTACACTTTTGGAATTTGAGAGATTTAGTGGGCGCTGCCATTGCTTACTGCTTGCTTTGTGCAGCAACTATTGCTTATACAGCAACAAAAATTCTGAGCTTTTTTGGATTATCCTTACCATGCCCTTGTAATGGGCTGTTTTTCACCACCCCCAACAAAAATTACTGCTTGCAAAGGGTTTTAGTTGATTACCCCACTAAATCAATTTCCAGTATTCAACTCTCTGTTAAGCGAAAATTCCCTTTCAATGATTCCTTATGGAGTAAGAATCACTGTACTAGTAATGTTAATGATAATGCTATGAATAGTTCAGTATCAGATGCTAGGAGGTTAGGGAATGTAGTTAGGAGGGAGTTGAATGCAAGGGGTGAGAAGTATGATGTGAAGGGAAAGGGGGTTCTGAGTTATAGGCCAAGAAGTGGGATGTACCGGAGTCGAAAAGGGGGTATTGACCATGGAAATTATTCGCCGGTTTCTTTGTATGATACTTCTCTGTATAGAGGAGTTCAGGGTGGTGTTCTGCAGTCTCCTTCTGGCATTAGTAGGGAAGGGAATGAAATTATTGGATGTAGCTCAGTGCCTACTGATAGCTCACTAAATACTCGTCACTTTGAAAATTGTGAGTTCTTGTGGTCTCTTGGATCCTGTTTTCAATTTATTTCTTTTTATGCTAAATTAACTGTTAATGCATCATGTATGTCAAAATTGTTTTAAAAACTGTTTGTTGCAGTTTTGAGGCCTTAGTTGTTCACTTGAACATAATCTATCTATTTGTAGTTGGAATAACTAGTATCGAAAGCTAAATATAGGAAAGTGAAGAAAAGAAGATCCATTATTGAATAATTAAGATTAAAACTGTTAAGAGGTGATTCTTTCATAAAACATACGAATTTACATGACATTTTCTTACTGTCATTTCTGATGACTTACAAGTTTGCAATGAAAATTTTCTGCTAAAAAGTACTTCATATGGGGGGGGGGGGGGGGGGGGGGGTTCTACCTACTGGTTTATATGAATGTATGCTCGGGATTACATCCATGCCTAGATCTTCTTTACTATTAAGCGAGTTCTATAGATCTGCTATAAGTTATTTCACTATTTCATGATATACAGGAACTCATTTTTCTTGAGACTCCTTCCAACTTTTTATGCAAACAAGTTAGTAAATTACTAAGTTCGAACCTAGTCACTGCCATTATTGCACCTTCCTAGGGTTGGGCAAAATGTCCGAACCGAACGGAACTGAACGGGAACCAAATCGAACCGAGCGGGTTTTCTTAATTGGATGGAGCTCAGTGCCTTCTGATAGCTCACTATATACTCGTCACTTTGAAAATTGTGAGTTCTTGTGGTCGCTTGGATCCTGTTTTCAATTTATTTCTTGTTATGCTAAATTAACTGTTAGCGCATCATTTATGGCAAAATTGTTTTAAAAACTGTTTGTTGTAGTTTTGAGGCCTTAGTTGTTCACTTGAACATAATCTATCTATTTGTAGTTGGAATAACTAGTATCGAATACTAAATATAGGAAAGTGAGGAAAAGAAGATTCATGATTGAATAATTAAGATTAAAACTGTTAAGGGGTGATTCTTTCGTAAAACATACGAATATACATGACATTTTCTTACTGTCATTTATGATGACTTACAAGTTTGCAATGGAATTTTTCTGCTAAAAAGTACTTCATATGGGGGGGTGTTCTACCTACTGGTTTATATGAATGTATCATGTATGCTCGGGATTACATCCATGCCTAGATCTTCTTTACTATTAAGCGAGTTCTATAGATCTGCTATAAGTTATTTCACTATTTCATGATATACAGGAACTCATTTTTCTTGAGACTCCTTCCACCTTTTTATGCAAACAGGTTTACTAAGTTCGAACCTAGTCACTGCCATTATTGCACCTTCCTCCTCTCTTTGAAGAAATAAAATGGTCATTTTTTTCCGAGAAGACATCTTAGATGTCTAAAAGTGGCACAACACTAGTTTCCTATTATCTTTATGCTACTCAATTTCCTTGTGAAAGAAAAGGTGGGACAAAAAAAAAATCAATATTCTTATTGGAATAGTGTTGCTAGCGACTGCTATCTTCGGACTCTACTTTTTGACAAGTTGTACCCTCAGTTTTGTAAAAGTGAAATCAATTGACTGTTTTTTATAAAAAGTTATAATACTTTAAAGTTTTAGTAAATTTTGATAAAAGTTGATGAAACGTAAGGTTGAAAAGTTGATGAAAATTGTGGGTACCATGGAATTTGTTGGTAATTTTAGTTTGACTAGTTGAAAAGTTGATATAACGTTGCTAAAGTTTTATTAAAGAAGCACTAAGTTCTCTCTAGGCTCGTTGGTTTTGCGCCAAAGAATTTCCATCGTGCTAATAAAGAATTTCAGCTTTGTGCTCTTATCAGAAATATTTAATACTTACTGAAGTCCTCTTGATTACTTTTCCTACACAAGGTACTTCAGGATATTTCTAAAGTCTGAAAAATGTATCTATCTAGTATTTTTTGTAATAAAGTGACTTGCATTCTAAAGCTACTGGCTGGTGTTTGACTTTAGATAATGAGAAGGCTCCTGCAATGATGGGAATATGGCAAAATGCTCCTGACGATGTTGAAATGAATAGATTATCTGACGAGGATATGGTCATGAAGAAAAATGTATCATCTATTGAAGTGGAGCTACTTGGTAAGGCAAGGGGGGATCTTGGTTTCAGTGGCGATGAGAAATTTTCAATTGAACTCTTGGAAGAAGTTTTTAAAGAAGAGCATGCTGCGTGTGCTGCACATGCTGCTCTTTACCTTGAGCTTGAAAATGAGAGAAGTGCTGCTACCACTGCAGATGAGGCTATGGCTATGATTATTCGACTGCAGGAGGAGAAGGCATCTGTAGAAATGGAAGCTAGGAAAAATCAGAGAATTATAGAAGAAAAGTCTGCTTATGATGCTGAAGAAATAATCATTCTAAAAGAAATACTGATGAGAACAGAGAGGGAGAAACACTTTTTGGAAAACGAAGTTGAGGCATATAGGCAGATGATTTTTCCTGAAAATGAGCAGTTAGCTGGTGATAGAGGGGATAAAATTGACAGTAGAAGACAAGTTTTCCATTCTTCACTTGATCTAGATGATGACCTTGTTCCCATATTACACCAGCGTATCTCTACTGACAAGAATGTAATGTTAGAGAATAGATGTCCGGATGAGGTTGAATCTATTGAGGATCAAAACTTGTGCACTTGATTTTGAGATGAAAATGTCCGATTCAAGGCTGGGATGATAAATGCTAGCTTCCAGGAACACAGGGATTCAGGTGCTATAGAATTGTCAGTATGCAGTAGTGATGGCAATCTCGAGCTACAGTAGGAGATGATATCTATAGATAATAACTTAAACGTGCTGCCATTATACCCATGTGAACTAAATTTTACTGAGAAAATCTGGAAAAGTGATGACATCTATCTAGGCCAGAAATTGGCGGCAAGGGATATTTTAACTAGTAATATAACAGAGTCAAGCAATGTATATTATGCACCAAGTTCGAAGCTGCATGGAAAAGATGCGCATCATGAACTCAATGATTCATGTAATCTTGTTTTGGATAAAGACTCATGTTTATGGTGCTCATGCTATGTCTGATGATATAAAGTCAGCAAAAGTGAACAGCTTTCAGTCAGCGATATTTCAAAAGTTCATTAGAGAAATTCTATTTCATTTGAAGCTTCTGTAGCAAAGGTGATGAATATTACTACTGAGTACTGATTGTCTTAATTACCAGTGGACAGGACACTGAAGTTGATCTGAAGGGAAGCAGTTCAGACACAATCCGTCAATGTGCCCAGGGAAATCAATTCTAATTTGCTGCAAAGTTCCATGTCTGCAGTTGTTTGCGAAAGGTTAAAAATTGACTTCAAAGTTGGATGGTCCTGAGAAAGGCTATGGATTGTGCAGGAGGGAAAAGAAAAACTTTTGCCCCTGTTTGGTAGAAATTAAAATTCAGATTTTAATCTAAGTCAAAGTGATTAACTAATTTTAACCACACATTTTATGAGACCTGCAACTTTTCAATTACACATTTCATCCACTTTTATGAAAATATACTAAAATTTGATTTTAATTCCCACCAAACAGGGGCATAGACACACAGTGGGTGGAATTTTCAACTAAGTGTATGATTCGTTCATGCATACTGTGTCGCCCATTAAAGGAGATAAGTACCCGGAGAAAGGCAGAGAAGCTGGCTAACTGAGGTTAGATTGTCGTTTTCATAACAATACCTGGGTTTATCTCTGTCCATACTAGCCTCCCTTCGCATGCATGTCTAGCCAGTCGTCCAAGACTGCCTGCACACTCGACAGCAAGCCTTACCGCCGCAGGATTAGGATCTGTCTAGCATTGCATAAGAGATAGATTACAGTTGAACTTCTGGAGGATAAAGCACCCCAGATTCAAGCGATTTGGAGGCTAGCTAGCAGAACCTGGAAATGCTATAAGACAGGCTTCATTGCCCCCTCCAATCTCTAAGATGTGCTGTTGGTATTTCATATCTCCATTTGTTTAAATGTAATAGTATGTGATGCCTACTTGGACATTGTTAGAATTTGAATATAGAATTGGAATAACATTGCCATGCACATGAGTAAAGCTATACAATGTTACATATTTGGTGAGAGTTTTCCAGATTGATACAATATTATTATAATACACACATTAATTTACAACATTTTGAGATGAAAATATTTATCAAAATTGTGACCAGAAAAGTATTCATAAGAGACTTGGATATTCTCCTGTTCAAGTTCTTCAATATTCTTCAACAATTCTATTACAATATTTCATCATGTGAATTTGCTTTATTTCATATTAAATTACTTATTAGAATTTTTAACATTTTTATTGAGATATGTGATATTTTTAGTACACGAAGCCTAATCAAGTAGCATTTCAATACAAGTATCTAATACAAGGAAGTAAATACATTATGTTTGCAGGAAAAGGGAAGCTGGAAACTTAGCTCATGTTTCATGGTCATTATTTTGAAAAAATGAAGTTTTGAATAGCGATTTTTCGGAAAATGTATGGCTAAAAAGTAGAAAAGAGTTTTGAAGGTAAATTCATTGAAGGACGAACTCCGATCTTGCAGAGAAATTGTTGAAATGATAACTTTGGTAATATTTTGGTGAATATGTCAATAGTTTGTTGGACGGGGGAACAAATCTTGTAACAAGTGCACCAATTGGTACCTTTTCACGAAAAAAGTGATAGTACATCCCGACGTGCTTTATTGTAGCATGAAACATAGGATTTACTATCATATATAATGAACTCCCGTTGTCGCAAAATAATTGCGGAGCGTGGTCAAATTTGATTCCCATGTCACGTAGAAGAAAAGTAATTCCTTTAGCTCAGCTGTAGTTGATGCAAGAGACCAATATTCTACTTTGGAGCTTGATCGTGCCGTTGTTGCTTTCTTTTTGGGAACCCATAAATGCAATCTGCTCCTAGGTAGATGCAAAATCTTGTAGTGCTCCTTCTAATATTTGGGCAGCCTCCCCAATCTGCATCACAAAATCCGTAGAGGTTAAAAGGACTTCGAGCCAAAAAATTAATACCATAAATCCATTAATTCTTGAACATTTATCTACTTTCAGTCTTGGGAAGTGGCTTCTTGATAATGAGAATTCTCTAGCATTCTAGCTTGACTTAAAGAAAGTGAATTTCCTCTAGACTAATACTTCACTTCTACCCAAAGAGAAAAAAAGGAAACTGGCCCAAATCTTTTAAAATGACTTCTGACCTCAATTCTTCAATGAGACCTTGAATGATACTTTTTTTTTAAGTCCTCGATGTTGTTTCATGTAAATGGTTTCCTTGAGGTACTCGTTAAGAAAGACATTTTAACATCTAGTTATTATTAAGTTATAGAGCTTTATAATTGGCAGTCCGTCATAGGTGCAAAGTCGGAGCCTTGGAGCAAAATCTCATGAAGGATAGTTTAGAAATTTTTCGATATTATAAGCCCTTATTTGATGGTCATTATTTTGAAAAATGGAGTTTTGAATAATTATTTTTTAAAGAGTGTATTCTGGAATAGTAAATTGATGAATAATGTGTGGTTAGAAAAGAAAGAAAATATTTTGATTTGCGTGTAATATTATTTTTATGAAGAATGTGTAGTTGAAAAAAAGAGAAAAAATATATATTTTGGAAAAACGAGAATCAAACATCCCCATGAGTATGAAAATTAAAGAATTATGTTTTAAAGAGAGACAAACATGGTTAAATTTTGTCTTAGAAATTTGAGTCCCTGTAAATTTCAATTTTGTTATAATTTGTCGTATAAATAGGAATTCGTCATTTGAAGGGCAATCAGGGTCGGTCCTGAAATTTTGGATGCCATGTGCGACATTTTAAAATGGTACCCCTTTCATTAAATTTTTTTAAAAAATCAATAATATTATATCATTGCAAAATTATGATACTTAAATACTATTTAGTTTTTTAAATGTCGTGAATAAGAAAAATACAAATAAAGTTCAAAAGCACCTCTCAAACTTCATCAAAATTCATGACATCAACAAAGAATCATCCAAGTCCCTAAATTTTTCATATAATTCCATATGAGAAAACCTTGAAATCAGAAACGTCAGATACCTCGTGTAAACTTTGAAATACAATAAATTATGTAAAAATATTTTTTCTTACAATTCTAGAAGCAAACTAACTAATTAAACTTTCGTTTATAGCAAATCTTGTTCAATAGATATCAAATATATTATAATATGGTTGATTGTAAATAAGATTTTAATAACTTCAATTTAAAAAAAAAAAATTTCAACAGGTTCAACAATAACATTAATTGTCAGTAATACTCTATAAGCAATAAATGTATTAAAAAAGAGATCCAATCTTTTCAAATAAGTCAATATATCAAAAACTGTCTTTATATTTTTTGGTAAAAGATTTCACAAAATTTTTGAACTCTAGAAGAAAACATTTGTCATCAAGATCACAAAAAAATTACATCTCTTAAAACAATGTCAAGATTATCATCAGCAAAAGTGAACAGCTTTCAGTCGGCGATATTTCAAAAGTTCATTAGAGAAATTCTATTTCATTTGAAGCTTCTGTAGCAAAGGTGATGAATATTACTACTGGGTACTGATTGTCTTAATTACCAGGGGACAGGACACTGAAGTTGATCTGAAGGGAAGCAGTTCAGACACAATCCGTCAATGTGCCCAGGGAAATCAATTCTAATTTGCTGCAAAGTTCCATGTCTGCAGTTGATTGCGAAAGGTTAAAAATTGACTTCAAAGTTGGATGGTCCTGAGAAAGGCTATGGATTGTGCAGGAGGGAAAAGAAAAACTTTTGCCGCTGTTTGGTAGAAATTAAAATTCAGATTTTAATCTAAGTCAAAGTCAATAACTAATTTTAACCACACATTTTATGAGACCTGCAACTTTTCAACTACACATTTCATCAACTTTTATTAAAATCTACTAAAAATTTGATTTTAGTTCCCACCAAACAGGGCATAGAGACACAGTGGGCGGAATTTTCAACTAAGTGCATGATTCGTTCATGCATACTGTGTCGCCCATTAAAGGAGATAAGTACCCGGGCAGGCAGAGAAGCTGGCTAACTGAGGTTAGATTGTCGTTTTCATAACAATACCTGTGTTTATCTCTGTCCATACTAGCCTCCCTTCGCATGCATGTCTAGCCAGTCGTCCAAGACTGCCTGCACACTCGACAGCAAGCCTTACCGCTGCAGGATTAGGATCTGTCCAGCATTGCATAAGAGATAGTTTACAGTTGAACTTCTGGAGGATAAAGCACCCCAGATTCAAGCGATTTGGAGGCTAGCTAGCAGAACCTGGAAATGCTATAACACAGGCTTCATTGCCCCCTCCAATCTCTAAGATGTGCTGTTGGTATTTCATATCTCCATTTGTTTAAATGTAGTAGTATGTGATGCCTACTTGGACATTGTTAGAATTTGAATATAGAATTGGAATAACATTGCCATGCACATGAGTAAAGCTATACAATGTTACATATTTGGTGAGAGTTTTCCAGATTGATACAATATTATTATAACACACACATTAAGTTACAACATTTTGAGATGAAAATATTTATCAAAAAAATTGTGACCAGAAAAGTATTCATAAGAGACTTGGATATTCTCCTGTTCAAGTTCTTCAATATTCTTCAACAATTCTATTACAATATTTCATCATGTGAATTTGCTTTATTTCATATTAAATTAGTTATTAGAATTTTTAACATTTTATTGAGATATGTGATATTTTTAGTACACGAAGCCTAATCAAGTAGCATTTCAATACAAGTATCTAATACAAGGAAGTAAATACATTATATTTGCAGGAAAAGGGAAGCTGGAAACTTAGCTCATGTTTCATGGCCATTATTTTGAGAAAATGAAGTTTTGAATAGCGATTTTTTGGAAAATGTATGGCTAAAAAGTCGAAAAATGTTTTGAATTTACTTTGGTAAATTCATTGAAGGACGAACTCCGACCTTGCAGAGAAATTGTTGAAATGATAACTTCGGTAATATTTTGGTGAATATGTCAATAGTTTGTTGGACTGGGGAACAAATCTTGTAACAAGTGCACCAAATGGTACCTTCTCACGAAAAAAGTGATAGTACATCCCGACGTGCTTTATTGTAGCATGAAACATAGGATTTACTATCATATATAAGGAACTCCCGTTGTCGCAAAATAATTGCAGAGCGTGGTCTAATTTGATTCCCATGTCACGTAGAAGAAAAGTAATTCCTTTAGCTCAGCTGTAGTTGATGCAAGAGACCAATATTCTACTTTGGAGCTTGATCGTGCCATTGTTGCTTTCTTTTTGGGAACCCATAAATGCAATTTGCTCCTGGGTAGATGCAAAATCTTGTAGTGCTCCTTCTAATATTTGGGCAGCCTCCCCATTCTGCATCACAAAATCCGTAGAGGTTAAAAGGACTTCGAGCCAAAAAATTAATACCATAAATCCATTAATTCTTGAACATTTATCTACTTTGAGTCTTGGGAAGTGGCTTGTTGATAATGAGAATTCTCTAGCATTCTATCTTGACTTAAAGAAAGTGAATTTCCTCTAGACAAATACTTCACTTCTACCCAAAGAGAAAAAGGGAAACTGGCCCAAATCTTTTAAAATGACTTCTGATCTCAATTCTTCACTGAGACCTTGAATGAATTCTTCATTATTCCCTGTAAGCACAATGTCATCAACGTAGATTAACATTAGCACCGAAATATTATTTTTATAAAAAACAAGGAGGGATCACATTTGTAGCACTTAAAACCAAAGTTTAAGTAAATTTTTTTGACAATTGATCAAACTAAGCCTGTGGTGCTTGCTTTAGGCCATAGAGGGATCGATTCAGCTTGCACACATATTCATAATACTTTTGTTTTTTAAGTCCTCGAGATTGTTTCATGTAAATGGTTTCCTTGAAATACTCAAGAAGAAAGACATTTTAACATTAGTTATTATTAGGTTATAGAGCCTTATAATTGGCACACCGTCATGGTGCAAAGTCGGAGCCTCAGAGCAAAATCTCATGAAGGATAGTTTAGAAATTTTTCGATATTGTAAGCCCTTGTTTGATGGTCATTATTTTGAAAAATGGAGTTTTGAATAATTATTTTTTGAAGAATGTATTTTGGAATAGTAAATTGATGGAGAATGTGTGATTAAAAAAAGAAGGAAAATACTTTGATTTTCGTGTAATATTATTTTTATGAAGAATGTGTAGTTGAAAAAAAGAGAAAAAAAATATATTTTGGAAAAACGAGAATCAAACATCCCCATGAGTATGAAAATTAAAGAATTATGTTTTATAGAGAGACAAACATGGTCAAATTTTGTCTTAGAAATTTGAATCCTTGTAAATTTCAATTTTGTTATAATTTGTCGTATAAATAGGAATTCGTCATTTGAAGGGCAATCAGGGTCGGTCCTGAAATTTTGGATGTCATGTGCGACATTTTAAAATGGTACCCCTTTCATTAATTTTTTTTAAAAAATCAATAATATTATATCATTGCAAAATTATGATACTTAAATACTATTTAGTTTTTTAAATGTCGTGAATAAGAAAAATACAAATAAAGTTCAAAAGCACCTCTCAAACTTCATCAAAATTCATGACATCAACAAAGAATCATCCAAGTCCCTAAATTTTTCATATAATTCCATATGAGAAAACCTTGAAATCAGAAACGTCAGATACCTCGTGTAAACTTTGAAATACAATAAATTATGTAAAAATATTTTTTCTTACAATTCTAGAAGCAAACTAACTAATTAAACTTTCGTTTATAGCAAATCTTGTTCAATAGATATCAAATATATTATAATATGGTTGATTGTAAATAAGATTTTAATAACTTCAATTTAAAAAAAAAAAAAATTTCAACAGGTTCGACAATAACATTAATTGTCAGTAATACTCTATAAGCAATAAATGTATTCAAAAAGAGATCCAATCTTTTCAAATAAGTCAATATATCAAAAGCTGTCTTTATATTTTTTGGTAAAAGATTTCACAAAATTTTTGAACTCTAGAAGAAAACATTTGTCATCAAGATCACAAAAAAATTACATCTCTTAAAAACAATGTCAAGATTATCACAACATGCTTTCAAATCAGCATTATTCAATGCGTTTAATATGTGAAAGAAAATATGAATTGATCGAACCTTCGTTCAAGTGATTCAATTACTTGATCTATTATATAAATGAAATAATTGGTTATGAAAGAATCTTCAAATGATTGTTCGTCCTTTATAGTGACATTGCCATCAAAATGTTTATTCTTACGAATTATAGTTTCTCCTCTTTTCTATTTTTATTGATATTATTTAAAGCAGGATACTATTTAAGAAATCAATTACATTATTCTTAACTTTAGTATCTTAATGTAATTGCATATCATATTAAGTCAAATGCATACAATCAATAAAGAAATAATCCATAAATGAAAATAGTTAAGAACAACACATTGAAATTAGTTATGAAGGAGTCCAAACTATCTGAATCATTTCCCTTACTTTAATAAAAATATCCTGATATGATATGTAATTAGGAATATTTAAAAATTTTAAAATTAATAAATATTTTAAATATATAATTATACATATATATACACAAATAAAAAAAAATTTGGTGCCCCTACAATGATGAGGTCCTGTGCGGTCGCTCAATGGCGCACCCTCAGGGTCGCCTCTGAGCGCAATGCTACATGTATATAATTTTTTTTTACCTAATCTTTTACCTACACTCACAATAGAGTGTGAGGACCACATTTTTGAGAGTTTTTTATTCACACGAGCCCTGCGCACATGTGAGAGTGTAACATTTTCGGTAAGAAAAATTATGTACAAATAATTTTATCCTTTGAATTTTAAGTTACCGTCATAAAATAGAGAAAAAGAGGTTAATGAATAATGAAGATCAATTCTTTTATAATTTTTTTTCATCGTAATGAATTATTGCAATTGCGAAATATAATATAATCTCATGACGAACCTTCATAGATTTTGTGGCTTTATTTCTTTCTACTAATTGATTTTTTTTTCGTGGGATAGAATTATGATTCTATGGCTTGTTTGGTAGGGATTCTCATTTTGTTACAATAAATCAATTTTCATTTTCAACCAAACATTCTTTAATAAAATAATATTTTTCATCACATCAATAATTTTTTCTTTTTTTTAACCACATATTTCCTATCATATCAACATTATTAAAAATAACCTCTTTTTTTTTTTTTTTAAATGAGTTTTAAAGACTAGTGCTTTATTTTTTGACACGCACTCTCTCCCCCTCCCCGCCGCAATTCTCCAATAAACCCTTCTTACCGTTTTGTTATTACTTTCAGCTCCATTGCCGCCTGTCTCACCCTCCCCACTCCCCAGAGAGGTAAGAGAGTAGAGGGGAAAAAACCAGAGGGCTGTCCCTAAACCCATTCCTTTTCCCATTATTGATTATACTATTCTTCAAACACGATTTTTCCCCTTATATCCAACACTTCATAGAAAAGGATTCTAGAGAAAAATTCTGTCCCCTTTTCTTCACATTCTTAGGTATATTTCTGGTGCTATTGACACAATTTTTTTAGTCCTTTTCCCCCCCTGATATGGGTTAATTTTTTCATTTTTAAATTATTTAGATGCGAACAGATAATAGCTTGCTTCAGTTCAGTTGATGACTGTTCTTGTCTGATAATTATGTTTTTGTTTTTCTTAATAGGATTCGGAGTATTTATAACTCCTTGAATGGATTTTTTTTGATTTGAGAAATAAATCAAACTCTTTGGTTTAATATTTATAGTTTCTTTCTAGATTTTTCGAAGTGCCCCCACTCCTGTTGCATTGGTTTTGATTTGATTTGATTTCATTGACATTTTGTGTTTCCTATAGCATGATATCGTTTGGGATTGATTTCTAGTTATTTGCGGTTTTATATTGTTTCTTTATCTCTATCTCTTGTTAGATCATTATATTGGTTTTACATTTTAAAATTAGGGTTTGGTTTTTTATTTTCTTCTGTTGGTTTTAGGCAATAATGGGGAAAAAGGTTAATAAGGCAAGAAGTGGTCAAAAGGAGAAGCGAGGTTCTTCTGCTTCTCCAAAACCAATTTCCCAACAAAACATTGACAATGTTAAAATTTCTGAGAATGGAACTGCTGTTGTAAATGATAGAGGAGTATGTTCACATATCGTCAAGGGAATTAATTTGGAGAAAATTTCTTCTAAACTTGGGTCTTCAGAACCTATTGCATGTGAAGATTGTCGAGTTAATGTGGCGGATAGACGGGCAAGTAGGGGAAAAGCTAAACACGGGAAGAAGGGAGTGAGGGATTCAAAATCGGCGTCTAAAGCGATTTGGGTTTGTTTGGAATGTGGAGATTTCTCCTGTGGAGGTGTGGGATTCCCAACCACGCCTCAAAGTCATGCAGCTCGACATGCAAAACAACGGCATCATCCACTGGTTGTCCAGTATGAAAATCCTCAACTGAGGTGGTGTTTTCCTTGCAATACATTAATTCCAGCTGAAAAATCGGTCGAACACAATGATGTCTTACTTGAAATTGCAAAAATGCTAAAGGAGCGACCTTCTGAAGGGTCCAATGCAGATGTTGAGGATGTTTGGTTCAAGACCGGCAGTGTGACTGGTGGAATAAAAGAACACTCTTTGTCAATTGGTTCATATGGAAGTGGCAATTATTCAGTTAGAGGTATTGTTAATTTGGGGAATACATGTTTCTTTAATTCAACTATACAAAATTTATTGGGTATAAATAAATTGAGGGATCACTTTTTTAAATTAGATGAATCTGTTGGTCCTCTTATTGCTGCTCTGAGAAAGCTTTTCCTTGAAACCAGCCCTGAAGCTGATATAAGTAGTGTGATAAATCCGAGATCTTTATTTGGTAGCGTTTGTTCCAAGGCTCCCCAGTTTAGGGGATTTCAGCAACATGACAGTCATGAATTTCTTCGATGTTTGCTCGATGGATTGAACACTGAAGAATTGAGTGCAAAAAAGCACATTAATTCATCTCAGGACGATGGGAAGTCTACCAACACAGATCGCACATTTGTGGATGCTATATTTGGTGGAAAACTTTCTAGCACAGTTAGTTGTTTGGAATGTGCGCACTCTTCAACAGTTTATGAGCAATTTTTGGACTTATCATTGCCAGTTCCTACTAAGAAGCCTTCATCAAAAAAGATGCAGCCAGTCTGTCGAGGCAAGAAACCAAAATTGCCTCCAAAAAGAAGCGGAAAGATTCACTCCAAAGTCAGTAAAGATGCATGTATACTACCAGCTCACAGTGTTGTTGACCAATTAAGTGGTGACAACTTGTCAGGTGAGGTTCACTCTAGTTTACTTCCAGCAGAGCAATTGGCGGTATCAGATTCCACGGATACAAATGACATAGCTAATGATATGGGCTTTTCACCCTGGGATATTTCATCTATGGAAAGGGCTGATTACCAGCAAGCAACTGAGAATGTTGGAGGGAGGTCAACTTCTTCAGATAGTTTTACATGGCTAGATTACCTCGAGCCTAATGCAGCATCAAATAACATTGATATGGCCTCAGAGATCGATGATCTTTCTGGAAAACAGGATTCAGTTAATGAAAATGCTAATCAGAACAATGGCATGTTTCTGAATGCTTTGGAATCTAGTACTGATTGCAATTTACAACATTCGAATTCAGCACCTTCCTCAGACAATGTGACACTGTTGGAATCTCTTGGACAAGGTATATCAGCCAGCGAGACTTACTTGGTTTCACAATCTGATGAGAAATGTTTGCCTGAATGTTCTGTAATCAAGGAAGCTTTTCAGGATGATACTGATTTAGAGCATAGCTCAGAATCCTCCAATCAGGTTTTCCATAAAGATTCAAATCCTGATATCAGTTCTTCAAGGAGGGATGTGGAATTGCCATTACAGATTCAAGATTCTGAAGTTCTGTTGCTTCCATACAAAGAAGATGACCCATCCATTGAGGAAGTATCACAAGGAGAAATCGTGGTCTCCTCATCGGCTCTTTGTGGTGAACAAGAATCCTTAGATTTTGACGGCTTTGGAGACTTGTTCAATGAACCTGAGGCTGTGGCGGACAGCAATATTACAGTTTCTGAGGCAAGTGAAGTCACCAAAAGTGGATTAGGTGTTGGAAATATCAGTGATTCTGATCCTGATGAGGTTGATAATACTGATGCTCCAGTGTCTGTAGAGAGTTGTTTAGCTTATTTCACAAAGCCAGAGCTTCTCTCCAAGGATGAACATGGTTGGCAATGTGATAATTGCTCAAAAGTTTTGCAAGAACAAAGGATTAGATTGAGGAGGAAATTACGGAAAGCTAGATCAAAAATTGCAATAGATGGTCTTGATGATAGAGATGCAAGTGATCCATTGACTGACAGTAAAAATTGCCCTGAAGTAAAACATGTGAATGGGAATGAGGTTATTGATAACAGAAATTCCATGGTTAAAAACTATCCACAAGCCGAGATGAATCCAATAGGTCCCCAAGTAGAAGACAGAAAATCTGAGAGTGCAATTGTCTGTCCAGGTCCAGCTGAGGTTTCACCTTCGAGGTACCAAAATGGTGTTAATTGCATTGAAAATGAGGTCATTGGTGAAAGTGGCATAGGTACAACTCAGTCTGGAGAGACTGATAAGTTTGCTGAACAAAGTGAATCAGAAGTAAGTGGGGAAGACGATGTGGATTCAGAAAAGTTGAAAGTGAAGAGGGATGCAACTAAGAGGATACTCATTGATAAGTCTCCTTCTGTCTTGACAATCCATTTAAAGAGGTTCAGCCACGATGCTCGAGGTCGATTGAGTAAATTGAACGGCCATGTGAATTTTAAAGAGAAAATTGATCTCAAAAGATACATGGATCCCAGGTGCGATTTTGTTTATTAATGGATAATTCTTTCAGTTTTTTCTTTCCTAATGCTAACAAGATTTACTTCTCTTTCATCAAATTTCCAATGAGAAAGTGCTGCTTTATTATCAGGGTGAAGGAAAAAGTAAATCTGTTGTTTCTGTAACTATTGAAATGGATAGTATTTCCTCCACGTTTATGCTGTTAGCACCTGAAGTTATTGCTTTTATCTTTCATTTCATTGATATTTCATCAGGAGAGCACATCAATTTATTAGGAGTGCAAAATGTCTGCAAGAGACATTGTTCACAAGAAATAGGCAAAAAAAGCGTCTGTATTTGGAATAGCCTCATTGAGCTTAAAATGCATAATATTTATCCCTCATGAAATATATGTCGGTCAGCTTAAAGTGAATAATATTTATCCCTATAATTTAATATATTTCGGTCGAAAAGAGGATTTTCACCTTCACTTGTACTATCTGTTCGGAGAGAGATTGTTACTATTTTTGGAGAATATCTCACAATGATTTTGTCTTCAACATATTTCTTGGGCTTCAGAGGCAGCAAGGTTGGTATAGGTGATTGATGGATTTGCTTGTTTAGCTTTAACTTGACTTCTTATTTCAGGAATAGAGAACTTCTTGTCCTTTTTAATTTTATATAACCCTTCTATAAATAACTATTTGTTTTCATAAAAAATCCCGAACAGTATCAAAATATAATCCGTTTATCTCAAGCAAAATGCTACATAGCAAGCAAAAAGTTGAGTGTATGACATTGTCCTTTGCCTATACTTGGTAGTGACTAAAGCCCGGGTTATTAATATCCCTGCAGAGGATGCAATATACAAATACCTTGTTTATCCCCCTGTTTTCCAATATAGTATTTAAGTGATCTAGTAGTTCTATTTCCAAATTGTTAAGATGCTTCTAGGTTTGACGCTTCTTGAACTTCTCGTCCACTATTATATGGTCCTCTATTAAATACTCCGTCCTGAATGGTTGCTTCTCATCAACTGCTAGACTGGTAAACACTAGATTGGAAAGTACTCTTTCGGAGCTCGAACTCCCGTTGAATGTCTCTTAAAAGCCAATTCTGTATCGAATATCAATTTAGCGATTGAAACTTTTGCTAATTCTTCTCGCACATTTCTTATGCCTTCAATTTATCAACATAAATTCTGACAGAATTCGAGATACATCCGGCTTGAATTCCATATATACAATAACTTCTTATTTGCAAGCTCTCCGTAACTTATTTTCTGTTCCATTACTTTGCCTAGAATTCCCTTTCTGATAAGATTGTGAACTCTACCTGTCTTGCAGTTGATAATTTGGCAAAAATAATTTTGCTGCTTTTTAATTCTGTTAGGCATCTGAAGAGTGACATTAGATGGGCATGTTTTTTGTAGATCAGACCCGTAAGAGTTCCTGTTTGATTCTTAGTATTTCTTTAAGGTTGTCAAGTTCCATGAAGTATGTGGAAAACCAAAACGTTAGAAACTATGGCATATAACTCTGGAGCTAGCTTAAAATGCCGGATTATGTGAATATACTTTTATTATTTGACGACATCAATTTTAGTGGAAAATTGTTATTAAATATATATTGACAGGAATATTTAGCATCTCTGACATGTTACTTTTGGCCTCTGTCTATGGTCAAAGGTTGAATCCGGGACCCTTAAGCATGCGTATTTATTTTCATATTTTCAGTTTGACTTCTCCAGTTCCAGAAACCTTGCTTCGTCAATGAGTTGATGGGAAGACCAGCCATTTCTTCTTGTATTTGCCTAGTTCATGGGTTACCTGCTATTCGCCTGAGAGAATACCTGGGTTAACTATGGAATCCCTTAGAAAGTTTACTTCTTTATTCCATGATGATTGACATGTTTTATTGAAAAGAAAACACATTTATGATCTCATTGCTTCCTACTCCAAAGTGGAGCATCTTTTACAAAGCTTTCTTACTTTACATTGCTGTATCGTTTCTACCTTGATGGATTCCTTATATTTGTATTTTTATGGCGTTGAGTGGGTATATTGCATTTGCATAGAAAACCACCTTGGGCATATAATGACACTGCTTCGATTGCTGTCAAAAACTTAATGTTAGTACTGTAGTACTGAGAAGAATAGAGGTTTTACAAATACTTCGAGAGATTTGTAGGCTTCTAAATTCTGACTTGAGGATAATAGTATTTACAAGCAACTTAACACTTATAATGTTCAATTAGTGTGCGAATCTGATCAGGAAATGGAAGAAGTTCTTGCCTCATGTTTGATAACGCCTCCGTTGTTCTGCTCGAAGTGTATCTTGATCTTTGTGTGTATAAACTAACTTTGCAGAAAATGTTAACACCAAATATTTGAAAACCCATCTGATATTCTACTCATTTAATTTACAGGTGCGCTGAGAGAGGCGTGTACGAGTATCGTCTGATTGGATTGGTGGAGCATTTGGGGACCATGAGAGGTGGCCACTACGTTGCGTATGTAAGAGGAGGTGCCAAAGGTGAGAATGGAGATTGCGTGTGGTATCGTGCCAGTGATGCTTATGTGCATGTGGTTTCCTTGGAAGAAGTTCTTCGCTGTGAAGCCTACATTTTATTTTATGAGCAAATTTGAGGAAGATCTCATTTTTCATTCTTTTCTTTTTGTCGTGGAATTGAGGTGGAGAGGGAGAGGGAGAGGGAGTGTACAATACCATTAACTTAATAGTCAATACACAAATATTTGAGGTGAAAAATGGTTGAAAATGTATAATTCTAAATTTTGGCGTTGGATAATGTTGTTTTCTAGATTTTTGGAGGAGGATGTTTAAGTTTGGGGTTGGATGTTACATATATTTTACATGTTACTAGAATAGCAATGAGTTGGCATTAGAAATGTTGAAATGTCTTGCTTCTGCCCCCAAATGTTGCAGGGATTAGGGGAAAAGACTGGGAATTGGGTGAGGATGGAGAATATGATTTAAATTGTATTTATAAGCAAATATTCTAGCATGCAAACAATAGCTATTTAAAGGCAGCCTGACTCTTAGGATTGCAGGTTGTACTGGTGGATTGTTGCGTCTACAGCACAATTTTTGATGTTAATGATGCCCAG